TGGTTGGTAACTAGGCACTAGCATACAACGTGATAAACAGTTAGGACTAGGCATGAGATGATATTCCACATAAACAGTAGCAAGGTTACCTAAAATCACAGCAGTGAGCAGTAGTAACGTTTAATCTACAGAGTGCTATAACTGTACTGCCAGAGCATATTTATGGTGGCAATGCTAGACCGAGACCGACTGGGTATGCACTGTCCAAATGAAAAGGAGAATGTTAGAGGAGGAAGCAGGGGAACATAAGGGATTTGCAGAATAATTATTACGAGAGGGGGGAAGTCCTTTGAGATGTTCTGCCTGCTAACATTGGGCCCTTTAAGAACAATGGTGCCCTTAACAACAGGCCCAGTTAACCTGCATGCAGTATAGATACAGTACAGGTATGGTATAGTCTCACACAGATGCACGGTAGATGTGGTTCAGATGCAGTAAAGTTCGGTATAATGCGGTATAGAGTTTGGTATAGGTGTAGTCTAGGTTTGAAATAAGTGTGGTATAGAGTGCAGTATGGATTGGGTATACTTGGTGTCCTGCTCTCAATGGCTCACTCTCTGCTAGCAATATCAGCAATGGGTGAATAGCCCTCTCACCAGTCCCCAAGATGATGTGGTGACCTCTCGCTGTAGAAGGGGGCGCACCTCCGTACTCATTCTCCTTACTGCCTGTACATTGGATAAAATAAAATATAATGGCAATAATATTTTGATCTTCCATGATGCAGCCACACAGAAACAAAGAGCTCTGTTCTGGTCAGTTAAATGTAGGCTTCATGGGAACACCCCTGCTTTACGGCTTGCTTTACCCTGCAGGGTTGTGAGCAATGGTAAAACACAATTTTTCGCTTCACTGGCGGTTGCTGCAGCCTGGGTAGACAGACTGGCCTAAGATACCTTTGGTACCTTTTTGCTCGCAGAGGTGCATACCATCCTGTTATTTACCAGTTTCCCAAGTGGGCTTCTGCCTCTTCTTGGGAATTTCTTCCACTATGTTTGTTTGATAGGCCTAAGTTATTTGGGCTTTACCACTGAGGTTATGACTGACAATCAGTTATGTTTTTCTTATGATTTTGGTTATCCATAATTATTGTTATTTCTTTATTATAGATGTCGTCACCATGTGCCTCCCCTGCATATGGAACATCTGGGTAGCAGTGATCATAACATGATTTCATTTATTGTTAGCTGTAAACATCAAACACATATGGGAAAAATAAAAGCACTGAACTTTAAAAGAGCTAATTTTCCAAGGCTGAGAGCTGCTCACCAAGACTCAGACTGGAAGGGAATATTAGCATTGATGAACACAACATAGAAATGGGAGTTCTTCAAGGACTGTATGTGAACACACTGCAAAATATATTCCCATGAGCAATAAGTTTAAAAGGCTAAAAATCAAACCTATGTGGCTTGCGGCCAAAGTTAAAAAAGCTATAAATAATAAAAAAGAGCTTTTATTAAATATAAAAAATGAAGGAACGCTATCATCCTTTCAACATTAAAAAGAATATAACAGAATATGCAAAAATGAAATCAGGGCCGCAAAAATTGAAAACGAACAACAGATTGTAAAAGATAACAGGACAAACCCCAAAAGATTCTTCAAATATACTAATAGTAAATAGGTCCGATCTGAGCATGTAGGCCCCAGGGGTCCATTTGGAAACTCGGGCACTGCCGAGGGCCCAGGGTCAGTAGGGGGCCCCATGAGATGCCCCTGGTACCTTTTTCATAGGCTTTTTTGAGTTTGGGCAAGGACACAGGGGCCCCATGATCCCCTATTGCCCGGGGGAGCCATGAGTTGTCAGTCCACCCCTGGTAGGCCCTTTACAAAACAATCTAGAGTGGGTGACTGGGGACAAAGAGAAGGTAAATTTATTAAATACCTTCTTCAGCTCTGTGTATACAAAGGAGCATGGGGGAGCTCTTGTCCATAATGGGCATGGTATTGACACAGCTCCAGATGATCCACATTGGCTCACAATTGATAGGAAATATTTAGAAAGAATAAAGGTGAATAAAGCACCTGGACTTGATGGCATACACCCACAGGTCCTTAAAGAATTGAGCTCTGTCATTTCAAAGCCATTGTTTCTAATTTTTAGGGACTCTTTAATGACTGGCATAATACCACTGGATTAGTGTAAGGCCAATGTGGTGCCTATATTTAAAAAGGGGTCAAAATCTTTACTAAGTAATTATAGACCTGTTAGTCTAACTTCTATAGTTGGGAAGATACTGGAGAGTTTAATAAAAGACCATTTAATAAAATTAGTTTTTGCTGTAAAAAAATATTTAAAGCAACAGACAGCATGGATTCATGAAAGACAGAAGTTGTCAAACAAATCTGATTTCTTTTTATGAGGAGGTGAGCAAAACCTTGGACAGAGGGGTGGCGGTGGATGTGGTATATTTTGATTTTGGAAAAAGCATTTGACACAGTTCCCTACACACGGCTAATGTGTAAGGTAAAGTCTACAAGCTTGGAAAAATCAGCATGTAAATGGATAGAAAACTGGCTAAAAAATCATATTCAGAGAGTAGGGGTTAATGATTTATACTCTGAATGGTGTAATGTTGTCAGTGGTGAACCCCAGGGTTCAGTGTTGGGAAACTTACTTTTTAATATATTTATAAACAATATAGGGTCTGGGATTAAAAATACCATTTCAGTCTTTGCAGATGATACCAAGCTTTGCAGTGGAATAACGTCCTTACAGGACGTCTCCAATTTACAAGCCGACCTCAATGCACTGTTTAATTGGGCAACTATGTGTCAAATGAGGTTTAATATTGATAAATGTAAGGTTATGCACTTGGGGGCTAAGAATATGCCTGCATCATACATACTAGGGGGGGTACAACTGGGGGAATCAATGGTGGAGAAGGATCTGGGGTTCTGGTAGATCACAAGCTTAATAATGGCATGTAATGCAAGCTGCGGTTTCTAAAGCGAGCAAAATCCTCTCTTGTATTAAAAGAGGTATAGACTCCAGAGACAGATATCATTTTACCCCGGTACAAATCATTAATAAGACCTAATCTGGAATATACAGTTCAATTCTGGGCACCAATTCACAAGAAGAACACTGAGGAACTGGAGAAAGTACAGAGAAGGGCAACCAAACTGATAAGAGGCATGGAGGAGCTCAGCTATGAGGAAAGATTAGAGGAACTGAATTTATTCTCTCTTGAGAAGAGGAGATTAAGGGGGGATATGATCAACATGTATAATACATCAGTGGTTCATATAGTGAACTCGTGTAGTGTATAGTGTAGAGTTACTCACTTTGAGGTCATCACAAAGGACAAGGGGGCACTCTTTACATCTGGAGGAAAAGAAATTTAATCTCCAAATACAGAAAGGCTTCTTCACGGTAAGAGCTGTGAAAATGTGGAAAAGACTCCCTCAAGAGTTGGTTCTGGCCAGCTCAGTGGATTGCTTTAAAAAGTCCTGGATTATTTCTTGGATACACAGAATTTAACTGGTTACTAACATTTATAGGTAAAGTTGATCCAGGGAATATCCAATTGCCTCTTCAGGGATCAGGAAGGAATTTTTTTTCCCCTGCAGGAGCAAATTGGTTCATGCTTTTCTGGATTTTTTTGCCTTCCTCTGGATAAACTGTGGGTGTAGCATTATAACTTTTTTTTGTGATTGAACTGGATGTATTTTTGTCTTTTTTCAGCCAGACCAACTATGTAACCAGGAAACAGGAAACTTTTTTTCAGAGAAAAGACAGAGTTTATCATAGATGCAGCTAAAAACCTATAAACACTGCCATCTACTGATTGAATAATATATCTCTACTGAATGCTGATGTATTTGTTGCACAAAATACATTAACACTGTATTCCAACATAATATTGTCAGCATAAATTTGGATGTATATCCATCTGTCTTCTTGATTTCTTGAAAATCCCTCTCTCATGAATATTTCATTTACTTTCTCATTCTACGTCAGATTGCTTGAAACCGAAAATGCTCTTTTGAAGTTTACACAAAAGTTTGTGTCATTGCTCAAACACTGGTGGTTGCTTCATGTAGAAATCTTTCTTAATGTCTCCATATAGGAAAGTGGTTTTGATATATAGGTGCTTTACTTGCATGCCCTTCCTGGCTGCATGAATGCTAAGAAGCATTCTGATGGTTGGGTGCTTTCTGGCAAGAGAGAATGCTTCGCTGTAATCTTCTCAAACTTTCTAGGACTATCCCTCGGCAACTAATCTGTCTTTTATTTGTGGATATTTCCGTCAGCATTGAGCTTCACTTTGAAAGTCCACTTGCTTCCTATTGTTTTGTGTTTAGGGTGGAGCTCCATGAGCGTCCAGGTTTTGTTTTCCTGAAGCGATTTTATTTATTTTTCTCCTGCCTTTCTCCATTTACTGGCTTTGCTTTTAGCTAGTTTTTCTATCCTCCCAGGATGTTGGTTCAGTAATGTTATGTTTCTTAGCAGTACTGTATATTACAGCTTGTGTGAAGGTATCCCCTGTGTTGCCCAAGTGGACCTACTAATTTCATGCTGTTTAACAGGATTTAGTTGAGAACCTAACACAACTATGGTGAGTTCCACCTCTTGATCTGACCCCTACGCAGCTTCATTATGGTCAGTTTCTCTTGCTGGTTCACTGGACAGAATAACTTCACAGCGTTCAGGAATCATTGTTTCTGATGATTGCATTTACTTCCCTGGTGCTAATAGGAGTGCCTGGCTTGTCAGTGCCTCTGCTATGCTTGCATGTCATCCACAGCATCCCTCCAGACATTCATGGGCTGGCCTTGTTTGTGCCAGCCACAGTGGCTGCTATGCTTGCAGAGCATCCTCGGCGTTCATCTAGACATGTGCAGTCCACATGCGGCCCATGGACTGCGGGTTGGACACCACTGGGGTAGAGGATTCTCTATCTCTTAGTGAAGAAGCAGGCTGGGGCTTAGACTACATACCCTGGGGAACCCCGAGTTGGCGTTCTACAAGGGCTCACTACCATAGATGCTTGCCAGCCATGTGTAAACACTTCCTAACAGTAGCACACCAGTGCAGGGGCGGACTGACCATTTGGAAACTTGGGCACTGCCCAAGGGCCCGGGGTCAGTAGGGGGGCCCATGAGATGCCCCTGGTAACTTTTTCATAGGCTTTTTTGAGTTTGGGCAAGGACATAGGGGCCCCATGATCCCCTATTGCCCGGGGGCCCCATGAGTTGTCAGTCCGCCCCTGCTCCAGTGTCATACTCAAACCTACATATTAATATGTGGAAAAGGTTGATGAACCAGAACCTTCCTTTGTACAATTTATGAGACAAGGGGATGTCCAGGGAAATTTTACAAGATATGGGAAGCCTGGCTAGATAGTCAGAATATGAGCGACTAGTTACCGACTCTTCATTCTAGACTACCCCTTTATTTTTTGTGCTATATTTCACAAGCTATGCATTAAAAAAAAAAACAGGACTCATGTACAGCTGATATACTATTCTGATATACAGTCCTTCTGTGTTTATTTCTCAGAATACAGGAGAACACAGTAACAATCTATTTTTTTCTATTGTATTGTCTTACAAGGTTTTTTTTTTTCAGTTGGAGCTTTCTCTTTTGCTAATCATTGATATCTGTCGTGTATTCATTTGTGCTATCTGCCGTTGGGGCTTCTCCTGTTTTTTTGAATCTTGATTCATCATGAGCCAGTAAGAAAATCTTCTGATGTGTTTCACAACTGGAACATTGCCTTGTGAATGTATAGTTAATCTTTTATGAGTACTCTCAATAAAATATATGTTTAACTTTTTTTAAAGTTACTTTAATGCCTCTTTTTCCTAAAGTATGAGTACCAGAAGTGTGGAGTAAAGGTAAAGGTGAGATTGTGCACAGCCAATAGAGATATTTTATTAAGTAAGAATAAACCTGATCGGTCATGGGTCTTCATTTGGTCAGATCATAGAGCCCTAACTTGTAACCATGTCAGTATGCAATGATTTGCACAAAAGTGAGCTTTGGGCTTTTGGGGAGTTGTACAGATCAAGGGATGGAGAGAGATGGTCCAGGACCAGGGGCGGACTGACCATTCGAGCACTCGGGCACTGCCCGAGGGCCCGGGTTCAGTAGGAGGCGCCATGAGATGCCCCTGGTACCTTTCATTGGCTATTTCATAGGCTTTTTTTGGGTATGGGCAAGGACACAGGGGCCCCATGATCCCCTATTGCCCGGGGGCCCCATGAGTTGTCAGTCCGCCCCTGTCCAGGACCAACCATTGTACACAAAGAGGGCAGTGTTTGCAGGCTGCAGCAATCCTCAGAACAAAAGTCTCAGTTTATCTTAAGGCATTGCGTTGGAACAAATAGATCAGCTGTGTTATTTGTCAGTTTTGGTGCATTGGCAGCCCATCCAAATAAATGGGTTTGAGACTCACATTCCTGATGGACAAATTTTTGTTCTTCTTACTGTTGACAAGCATATATTCCCAGACAGGAAGTACATTTTATGTTGAATTCATTTGAAATATTTAAAATATCACAATTTATACTACATTTCTAAATCTGATTTATGTTATCTCTTTATATGAAAGAACAATGAATAGCATAATTATTTCTAAGTAATTTTTGAGGACTAATAAAATTGAAGATGATTTCTTTAAAGTTACACTATCGCCAGATGCTATGAAAATGTATTTAAATCCCTAAGGTGTTTTTTTTTTTAGGATTTCTGTTTTAGTTTTGCAAAGAGCAGCGATGTGTTATAACCTCTGTCAGGTTTTTGCCATCTGTGGCCATGCTAGAAAGATCCTCCGTATTTGTTTTAGTGACCATTATCAGTAGGACTAAAAGTGAGGGAGAAATGCAAAAATCTGAGGTGTCACCAGTGAAGGAATAGAGGTTAAAGCTTCCAATGTGGACACCTGTTCTGGTATTCTGTGCCAACTGTCTAAAGGGTGCAAAAAATTGCATAGCTGTTCGTCCATTGAAACGGCAATTTAATGTGTTCTGTGTAAATTGGGCAAAATAAAATATTCTTTGCAGATGAAGGATGAATGACTGCGGCAAAACACTACAGTATGGCTACTAGATGGCACTGATTATCAGAGGAAATAAGCATTCCTCTCATCTCCATCTAGTGGCCATAATGCGGGGATGGTATTTTTCAAACATTCACACACATTCAAACTATAGAGAAAAAAAGCCTGAAAACACTGGACTTTACTCCATTTGCACAGAAACAATTTACATGCAGTTTTGACGTACAAACAGACATGCTATTCTGTATTGTTAATAAACTTTTAACTCTGGCTGTCCTGAAATTTGGAGAGATTTCCTTTCGTGTCTACAGGACAGTAAGTGAAGTGGAATCTCCCATGTTACTAAGGAAGCCCCACCTGGGCGAAATGCATACAGGAGATTTGTATTTGAGTTTCCTAGAGCTGCATTCAGGGAGTGAGTATGAGGGAGAATGCCGCTGTGCTTCCAGTATCAGAGCTGAGAGACAACATCCCTGTGTGAGAATCTGGGACCTGCTCACCACCAAGCCATTAGGACCAAATGAGTCCTAAGAACAACATATCTGTATGTACCAGATTAATATACTGTTTTAATTGCTAATTAAATACGTTAAAGCGTGGAAAACCGTGTGCAAAAGCTTGTGGCACTGCTCCAAGTTTGGAAGCAAAAGGAGATCACCCTGCCGATATTGAAAGAGAGCAGTGTCCATAGATCATTCCAGTGACTTGCGTGTAATAGAGAAATGGATGCCACTCAGACAGATCCCTGGAGTCTGGTGTGTAGAATGGCCTTAGGCGCCTCTCCAGCCATGACCTTTGGGCAAAACACATCAGTGCGTGACTAGGATGGCAGCCAAGGCCATTCTACACACTGGACTGCAAGGACAGGTCTGGGCAATGTCTATTTTACTATTACATAAGAGTAGGGTCGGCAATCCATCTATCGTGATTGACCTGTAGACTGCGGACAGGTGACAGGTAGATCACAATCAATTCCTTGTCTTGCCAACCCGCAAGGGCTCCTCCCCCACATCCCAGCTTGGCACACAGCACAGAGAAGGCATGAGTTCATGTGCCTTGTCGCCTAAGCTCTCAATCTGGGAAGCATAGGAAGAGGCATTCCTTGCCCGCAGCACGCCCCTGCAACGTGCGGCCTTGGGGCAGAGAATGCCTCTGCCGTCTAGGATTTGCTAGGAGCAAGTTCCAGCTTACCTCCAGCAGCGAGCTGATCTCCTCCCCAGTTTCATACCCTCCAGATTCCTCTGTAATGTTCTCCCCTGACCCCCAGTCCCATGCCCCCTGATCCTCCAGTACCATGCCCTCCTGACCCCAAAGACTTTGCTTTTTAAATCTCAGTACCATGCTCTTCTGACAATCTAGTACCCTTCCCTCCTAACAGCCCAGTAATGTGTCCTCCAGACCCCCCCAGCCCTCCTGACCCTCCAGTTCCATACTCTGTAGATCCCCTGTGCGGTCCCCTCCAGACCCCCCTGTACCAGGCCCTCCTGACTACTCTGTACTGTGCCTTCCTGACCCCCCCCCCCTTTACACTGCCTTGCTACCCCCCCTGTCCTTTGCCCTGTTCTTAGCCTTGCAAGCCCCTGTCCTGCTCTCTCCTCTTATCTGCCCTATTGATCTCTGTACACTGCTCTTGATACTACTGATCTCTATACACTGCTCTACATACTACTGACCTCTATACACTGCTCTACATACTACTGACCCCTGTACACTGCTCTACATCCCTACACACTGCTGACTAGCGATTCATCAATACCCTTTTTTTTATCAGTGAGTACAAGTACTGATACTTTTGGTCAAGTACTCACCATACCGAGTACCGATACTTTGCCATGCAATTTGCATCCATACAAAATGAATGGGCACAAACCGCACGCATTTCCCCACCGCTCCTGTGTGAACCCAGGCTTGTCATAGCCTGAGTTCATACAGGTGCATTGCAGGAAACCTCCCTGCATCAATCCCATGTAGTCACACAAATAAAAGCCGCTTCACAAGTCTGGGGGTTCAAAATCCCAACGGCTTTCTCTCCTCTCTGCAGGGCTGACAGTACAGACTAGACAGCTTCTGATTGGTCAGCACCATGATGACAAGCCTAGGTTCACACAGGAGCAGTGGTGAAACAGCATGAGATTTAGACAAGAATGGCACAGCATTCCTGCTCAAATCACATGCCATTCTTTGCAGCATGATTTGCGACAATTAATTTTGTATGGACACAAATCACACAGCAAACTATCGGTTTCATGTATCGGGAGCATTTTCACAGTACTTGTGAAAATACACGGTATAGGCACTGTGTATCCTTACTACTGTCTGTACACTGCCCTATATCCCTACACACTACTGACCTCCGTACACTGGCACTGTGCCTATATCCCTACACATTACTGACCTCCGTACACTGCCCTATATCCCTACACATTACTGACCTCTGTACACTGCCACATTACTGACCTCCGTACACTGCCCTATATCCCTACACATTACTGACCTCAGTACACTATATCACACATTACTGACTCTGTGATATCCCTACCGATCTCCGTACACTACACTGCCCCCTATCCCTACACACTACTGACCTCCGTACACTGCCCATATCCTACACATTACTGACCTCCGTACACTGCCCTATATCCCTACACATTACTGACCTCTCCGTACACTGCCCTATATCCCTACACATTACTGACTGACACTGCCTCCGTACACATTACTGCCTCCGTACACTGCCCTATATCCCTACACATTACTGACCTCCGTACACTGCCCTATATCCCTACACATTACTGACCTCCGTACACTGCCCTATATCCCTACACATTACTGACCTCCGTACGTACACTGCCCTATATCCCTACACATTACTGACACTGCCCTATATCTCCCCTACACCTGCCCTATATCCCTACACATTACTGACCTCCACTGTACACTGCCCTATATCCCTACACATTACTGACCTCCGTACACTGCCCTATATCCCTACACATTACTGACCTCCGTACACTGCCCTATATCCCTACACATTACTGACCTCCGTACACTGCCCTATATCCCTACACATTACTGACCTCCGTCACTGTACACTGACCCTATATCCCTATATCACATTACTGACCTCCGTACACTGCCCTATATCCCTACACATTACTGACCTCCGTACACTGCCCTATATCCCTACACATTACTGACCTCCGTACACTGCCCTATATCCCTACACATTACTGACCTCCGTACACTGCCCTATATCCCTACACATTACTGACCTCCGTACACACATGCCCTATATCCCCCTACACATTACTGACCTCCGCCCTATATCCCTACACATGCCCTACATGCCCTACACACATTACTGACCTCCGTACACTGCCCTATATCCCTACACATTACTGACCTCCGTACACTGCCCTATATCCCTACACATTACTGACCTCCGTACACTGCCCTATATCCCTACACATTACTGACCTCCGTACACTGCCCTATATCCCTACACATTACTGACCTCCGTACACTGCCCTATATCCCTACACATTACTGACCTCCGTACACTGCCCTATATCCCTACACTGCCCTTATCCTCTGCCCTCCGTACACTCCCTACACACATACTGACCTCCGTACACTGCCCTATATCCCTACACATTACTGACCTCCGTACACTGCCCTATATCCCTACACATTACTGACCTCCGTACACTGCCCTATATCCCTACACATTACTTACTGACCTCCGTACACTGCCCTATATCCCTACACATACACATGCCCTATATCCCTGACATTACTCCGTACACTGCCCTATATCCCTACACATTACTGACCTCCGTACAACCGCCCTATATCCTACACATTGCCCCGTACACTGCCCTATATCCCTACACATTACTGACCTCCGTACACTGCCCTATATCCCTACACATTACTGACCTCCGTACACTGCCCTATATCCCTACACATTACTGACCTCCGTACACTGCCCTATATCCTACACATTACTGGTACACTGCTTGCTATAAACACAAAGGCTGTGGCCCTATACCCAGTGATCTTTGCTGTCATTACGATATTATATCCCTAGTGTATCTCCACCTTTCAAAGGTACACTGCCCTATATCCCTACACACTACTGCCTACACACTACTGACCTCCGTACACTGCATTAAAGGATAAGTTCATATCCTTATAACATATTTTTACAGAATAAAACATTACTGGTCATTTATTATTTTTTTCTTGCAGGAGCCTGAAAATATTGCACCTGTGATCAGTGGATCATGGGTACA